AAAAAAAAAAAAAAGACTCTGAAGAGCTTTTTTTTGTATAAGTTCTAAAACATTTTTTATATTTAAATAGTAGGGGGATTAATTAAATATATAGTACATCAATAAAGCACATTGTAGGAGTTTAAATATAGTGGACACATTTAGAGGCAATAAGATACAGAAATGCAGTTACATGAGGAATATAGTTACATGAGAAATATAGTTTAAAGCATTCTAATTTATAAAATATTATGTAATTATACATACTTTAAAACAAGTAGATGTATAACAAGATTGATATACTGTGGAGGGAACGAGGTTGATTGGAAGACATTGTGTACTCCTATGAAAGTGTCAAAGTTCAGCCACCTTTACAAGTAATGTTGCTAATTGGAATTTTCAGAACCAACATCATGATAAAGGAAATACTTTTTGTACATTATGAAAATGAAACAATGAAGCTTGTTCTAAAAGTAGGGAGGAAGTATAAGGGTGAATGACAGGGAGGTGAGTATGATCAAGGTACATGATGTGCATATGTGGACATGTCAAAATGAAATCCCTTTGTATAACTAATTGATGGTAATAAAAATGTAGAAGCTGGGCTGGGAAGGTGGCTCAGTGGTAGAATGCTTGCCTTGTATGCATGAGGCACTGGGTTCGATTCCTCAGCACCACATAAGCAAAAAGAAGAAAGCCGGAAGTGGCGCGGTGGCTCAAGTGGTAGACTGCTAGCCTTGAGATGAAAAGCTGCGGGAAAGCGCCCAGGCCCAGGGTTCAGGCCCCATGTCTAGATCCCCCCCCCCCAAAATGTAGAAGCTAAAAATGTTTTAAGGTAAAATTGATACTTGTTACTCTGAACAATCAGACTTCTTATAGAAAATTTCAGGACAATTTTATTTGGAAAGATATCATGGTGTGTGTGTGTGTGTGTGTGTGTGTGTGTGTGTGTGTGTGTGTGTGTGTGTGTGTGTGTGTGTGTGTGTGTGTGTGTGTGTGTGTGTGACAATTTTATTTGGAAAGATATCATTGTGTGTGTGTGTGTGTGTGTGTGTATTTTTCGGATGGCATTAAAAGCTTTTGGATGGCATTAAAAGCTAGAGAAGTTGGTAACTTCTGTGTGGTTAAATGACTAATAAGTGATGGAGAGCCTAGATCATGAACTCTTCTAAAGCACCTACCTTAATTATACAGTATCTCTTTTGTATGTAGCTTTTAGTATTCTTTCATTTCATAATGAATATTGAGACAACAGACCTTCTAAACATCTGTTGTTGCATGGTACAATTAAAAAAAATTTTTTTTGTCAGTCATGAGGCTTGAACTCTGTACCTGGGGTGCTGTTGCTTAGCTCTTCAGCTCAAGGCTAGTGCCTACCACTTGAGCCACAGCGCCACTTCCAGCTTTTTTCTGCTTATGTGGTGCTGAGAAATCGAACCCAAGGCCTCATGCATGCAAGGCAAGCACCCTACCACTGAGCTAACTTCCCAGAGCAGCATGATACAATCTTAACTTTTTTTTTTTTGCCAGTCCTGGGACTTGAACTCAGGGCTTGGGCATTGTCCTTGAGCTTCTTTTGTTCATGGTTAGCACGCTACCACTTGAGAGCTACAGCGCCACTTACAACTTTTTCTGTATGTGGTACTGAGGAATGGAAACCAGGACTTCACGCATGCTAGGCAAGCACTCTACTACTGAGCCACATTCCCAGTCCCAATCTTAACATCTTAGGGGTCATTTGTTAAATTTCTTAAAATGTGAGAGAAGTTTAAAATGACAGTAGGATGAGTTTAAAAATGAGAGATAGTTTAAGATGTGGAGTTTAATTCTGTAATCATTATATGTGCCGTTTTATTCTTTTTAATTAAAGGAAGAAACTACTAGAGATTACAGCTTCCCAGCTGGCCTAGAAGACCATATTTTGGGGGAGAATGTGTCAACTAACACAAGTATTTCAGGGTTGGTTCCCAGTGAACTTAACCAGAGCAACACAAGTCTTGGAAGTAGCAGCAGCAGTGGAGATGTTGGAAAAATGCATTACTCAACAGGTATGAATTATATATGTATGTATTATGTATGTAAGTAAGTATGTACTTGGGGCTAGACAAGTGCTTTACCATTGAGCTCTTCCTGTTTTAATAACCTTACCATAAGTCCCCACTATTTTAAACGCCACTTGATAAAATGATCTGATGTTTTAATTTTAATTTTAATTTTTTTGTCAGTCATGGGGCTTGAACTTGGCCTGGGCACTGTCCCTGAGCTCTTCAGCTCAAGGCAAGTGCTCTACCACTTGAACCACATCACTACTTCTGGTTTTCTGGTGGTTAATGGGAGATAAGAGTCTCACAGACTTTGCTGCTTGGTCTGGCTTTGAACGTGATCCTCAGATCTCAGCCTTCTGAATACTAGGATTACAGGCATGAGCCACTGCGCTTGACGCAATATGTTTTAAATAATAACTCTATCTTACTATTACTCTGTTTTTGGGTCCTGTTGTGGGGCCTGAACTCTGGGCCTGGGCGCTGTCCCTCAGCTCAAGGCTAGCGCTCTACCACTTGAGCCACAGCACCACTTCCGGCTTTTTTCTTTTTGCTTATGAGGTGCTGAGGAATCGAACCCAGGGCCTCAGGCATGCAAGGCAAGCACTCTACCATTGAGCCACCTTCCCAGCCCTATTACTCTGTTTTTGTCTGAGCTATAAGTACTCTGTTTTCTATTGTGTTTAGTTTTAGGTGTATATATTTCTATATTTTTGTGAATTATATCAATTCTCAGGCTTTAGCATGCGTACAAATCATCTAGCGTTTTCAGATATGTACAGTTATCTAGCTGGATACCAATGGCTCATACCCGTAATCTTAGCTACTCAGAAGGCTGTGTTCTGAAGATCAAAGTTTGAAGCCAGCCCCGGCAGACAAATTTGAGAAACTCTTACCTTGAGTTAGCCAGCAAAAATCAGAAGTAAAGGGCTGGCTCAAATAATAGTAGAGTGCAGCCTTGAACAAAAAAGCTAAAGGCTAAAGGCCCTAAAATCAAGCTTCAATCTTGATGAAGACAAAAAAAGCCCAACAAAAAAATAATTATGCACATAAATACATTGACTAAACTTTAGCCTAAAACTAGATTTATGGAATGGGGCTTTGGAAATATGTATTTTTAACTGTCTCTGGTTGCATAAGTATTTGGCCAGATTTTAAAGATCATTAGAATTTCTCAGCTCGTGAGACTCCTATCTCCAATAAACCACTAGAAAACCGGAAGTGGCGCTGTAGCTCAAGTGGTAGAGCGCTAGCCTTGAGCTGAAGAGCTGAGGG